GGCTGGCTTGCTGGATCAGGGTTATACAATGGTGAAGAAATAACATCTACATATGATGGAGGCTTATCTGATTCTGGGTTTACAGGATAGTTTGGTGCTGTTGGGGGATTTATGGAGTAGGTTTGAGAGGTGCCAGTGCCTTCGCGAATTGGAGTGCCAGCTGTTCTGCTGGCCGGTGATGCAGTGCCATCAGCTGTTGTTTCCGTTTGGATGGAGGAATGGACAGGCGAGAGTGCATATGAACGTGGCACATACCCATCATCAGCAGCTGGGAGAGATGAAAACTGGCTCATCATTTTCTTGTGTCTGAAAAAGTGACATTCAATTGCTAGATCATTTAGTCTCTTGAGGTAATCCACTTGCAAATATCATGTTAACAAGATAAAGTTCTGATATATCAATAGAAATGAAAAGAGGCATCTTATATGTATTGAATTTTCACATTCAGGAATACAATCATCATTCTGCTGCAACAAAAATTTACAGTAAATATAACAAATACTAATATATGCCTCATTCCAAGATTTATCTGGTTCTTTGAATTTTATAATGCACTATTATACAGTTCAGAAATAATATGTCTCACTAAAACTTTAAAAACTTACTTCCTTATGGTTCTCTTGATTGTACAGCACCAAAATAAAATGACAAGCAAGCCAAGAAAGATACCCAGATAAATTGGTCCATTCGTTGATTCAACTTCTCCACAGTCACAAATTTCTTTTCTTTGGTCATACCTACAAGCACTAGAAGTAAAAAGAAATGTACATATCATTAAAAAGAAAATTAGAGATCAGTGAAACTGAAACTACAGATTATATAACACTGGAAAAGCAATATCAAAAAAATGCAACTAGGATAATGGATGGAATATAAACTACTATGTAAATAATCATACCAATGTTTTTCTTTTTTTCACTTTTTGGCATAAAAAGTTAGGGATATAAACAATTTTTAAGATCTCATGGCATAGAACAAATGAATAACTTTTGAAAATTCTAGTTACAAATGAAAGGAAAATGAAAAGCTATCAATACCTAAATTGAAATACATACACTGGACACCTGCATTTAAAGCCCTGACACTCAAGTCCTTCAATACAATTTGCGGATTTTCTGCAGTATTCACCAGGTTTAACGCGATAATCTGAAAAAAAATGTTCAAATCAATGTCCATGATTGTGTATGTGCATGTGAAAATTTCCCTTCTCCCTGCTATTTAACCTGTCTGATTAAAAAAGAAGAAGAAGAAGAAGAAGAAGAAGAAGAAAAGGAATTTGTTTTGAAATAACCAATCTTAATTATACATGTTAATTAATAAATTACACAAACGGAAACAGCATCAAACTAAATCCATCTAAACATATGCTATAGCAAAAGCAATTCAAGATAAAAATAAATTCACATCACTGACGACTCGCTCCTCTGAACGACTTTTTGATTACTCCAACTAACCATTCATCCTCCAGTAACATGAAAAGATTTTGTTAAACTCATATCAGAGCATTACTCACCAGAAAGACTATATTTCTTCATGTACGATTCCTGTGGTTCACATGATCCATCTGCGGTTGGGATGTAACCCCTTGTACCAAAAATAGGAAAGTTAAAGTCTTGAATAAATAAAATAATAATAGGCAAGAAAAACTGGAAATAAATCTACATGTAATAATTATCTATTTCATTCTCATTTTTCCCTTTTTCCTGTATCTAATAATCATTTATTTCATTCTCATTTATTCCTTTTTTCCTGTATTTGATGTACAGTAAAGCCTTGGAGTTAGCAAGTTTGCATTTGGCAACTTCAACTGCTACCTTATCTTAACCTTGGAAAGCACATTTCATAGGTAACCTTGTTATCTCTACAACTGAGTAAAAGAAGCTTTAGTTCTGATCTTTAGTTTAAACAATGGTTTCTGAGAATGATACAATGAAAAAAATTTAAGAGGACTTGCTCCTTGTAGTATAAACAAGACTGTTTATTCCATTTGCTCCATTCTCACATTTGGTGCTTTCACATATGGCACTTTTTCTAGCATCTACTGCTCATTAAATGTGAGACTTTACTGTACAATGAAACTCAAGGACTAAGTCTACTATTCTGTAAATCATTTACTAAAATATAGGTAAAGCACCTATGCTTTTCAACTTACGTAGCACAAACACAAGTATCATTTATGCATAAAGAATGTTTACTGATATCACACATCCATAATGCTTGTCTTGTTACTCTGCAGGTTGACATTACTGGCTGTAATTGCCCTGAAAAAGAACAAAAAATATCACTATAATGTCCAGTTTGTTAGAACTGGCAGAAGGCCGACCCAGTGAATATTCATGTATACAGATATTCATGCACACAAATAGATTCATTTTTGTCTATTTCCCTGCTAGATATAAATCTATCTATATACCTATCTGATAGATTCATGTCTATCAATTGTTTGTCTGTTTCCCAGATAGACATAAATTTATCTTTATATCTATCCAGTAGATTCATGTCTATGTACTTATTGCTGAGTATAGCCATGTCTGTATAATCAATATTCTTTGGGTCAGGCCACCCACAATTTTAGCAATAGCTACTCTTGTTGACTAACTAACTTTGTGCCTCATTCCTACACGTTCAACCCCTCCCCCTTTGAAGTATTCTGGATCCACCATACCTTTGCGACAGGAAGATTCCATCCTGTAGTAGCCCTCATCACATACACACACATGGTCAATACACTGAGCATTTTTCGAGCAATATTCAGTTCTTATACAATATTGCGACCTCCCTGAAAAATATAATGAATGGAAATCACCAGAAAAGCGACTATAAAATATATTCCAAATATCACAAAGAAAAACTATCCCAAAAAGGAGTTTAATCACGTGCAAAAGATACGACCCTTACAATTACACTCTGGATAGAGTGACTCTGAATACTCTATTTCTGGGCAGGTACAATGGTTGTTCTTACAGCTTGCTTGACCTGGACAATCATAGGAATAAATGCATTTTCCACCAATTTCCCCATCTGAAAATTAATGATATTTTATTTACAGATTTGGCATTCAAGTGAGAAGTAAAAAAAATTAATAGTAATAAATAAAATAAAATATAATAATAATAAAAAAAGAAAGAACAAAAATAATGATAACTTTAGTTAAACTGAATTAAGCATGGTAATGTTGAACTAGTTTAAAACTTTCTTATTCTAAAAAATCTGTATGGATGGCCGCCAATAAAGGCCATCAAAATACTTTAGTCTGATCAACTGTGGTAATTCCTTACAGTACAGATGCGCTCGCTTGAGACTAAGTCCCTAACTCTGTCACAAAAATTATTCATCAATCTAAATTGCCTTGATTGAGTGTGCCCTTCAAGCACTGCCTGAGGGGAGGACTGATGGGGGGCTATGCCCCCAGCACCTCCCAGGAAACATTGTCTTCACCTCTGTATGCACAGCAAGGTTGATCAGAAACTCGGGAGCAATTTGCCCTAACTTAGTACATCCATACCGTAAAGTTTAAGTGTAACTGTAATCATGTGTGAATTCTCAATTTAAATTTTGTGAAAGAAAACAGTATATAACAATCAAATATGGAAATGAAAGCCAGATATTAATGAAATGAAATGAAAAGCCATATACACTATTCAGTCTGCCAGAATGGTCTCATCACTCACTTGTTATCCATATGCACACAGCAGCAAATATCAATATAACGATGTTTCTGCTGAACTCCCCCATGGTCTTAGTACTATGGAAATGGTTGTGGGGCGATTTCTACGGAGGTGCACAACTTCAACAAGCAAATCTGAATTGATTTTCTTAACTCCTGAAGATTATTTTACTTCATTGAGGTATCCTTGGGTCCCTCCTAATAATCTGAAAATAAATGAAGACACTTCCCTTCAGAAACTAGAAGATAACTGCTTAAAAATAACTTTTCCCAATTTTTTTAACTGTAGCATGATAGATCATAAGCTACCTTCTATATCAGTTTCACTGCATTTATCAAATAAATCAAATCAATGAGCATAATATAAAATTCACAATCCTCATTCAAATTTTCTGTGGTAAATCAAGAAAAATAATCAGATAAGTAACATAAACAATGTTTTGAATAATACGTTTCGATTTAAAAAATGAACAATTAGGGCATGTCACAATGAACACATACCAAGGTACTTGATGATGTGACAATAGTTTGTTCCTTTCTCCCCACTTGATGCTAGTACTGTCGCAGCCAAGTTAACCGTGAGAAGCCTGGAGGTATGAGCCTAATACCATGAAACTGTAAAGCCAGCATTTTTCCCCTAGTTATACTACTTAGCTAGATAAATTAGATCTAATTACATCTATAGCAATATATAGTTAATGAGGCAAGGTCCTTTTATGTAAATCTAGATCAGAATAAAAATGGTAAATCTAGTTTATGTAAAGTTAGGCTTTGGAAGAAAAGGAAAAAAATGTTCAAGCAAATATGCTGAAGTCACAAGGCTAGAGCTGTAGTGAGTACCTTACCTTTAGGGAGAAAGCACAATGGTACAACTTTTGAACAAAAGATCAACTCCAATATAATGGTTATATAATGGTTATCATAAATGAGAGTTAAATCAGGTAGCTTTAATTTTCTTGTTGCAAAAATTGATATAAAAAATTTGGGTCATATTTTTCTGCATTTGCCATTCTTTGTGGAGCAACATTGACACCCTCCATGCTTTGGGTTAATGAAAAGGCAAATATACTTCATTCATGCAAATCCTAGCAAGATAGAATAAGTAAATTCAGTTTCAACCAGTCTTGGACTTTTAACACTTTAATCATTTCGGGCTCTGATATTTGTTATCTTTGTTATTTCTCATCTATTGTATATGTACATATAAATGTATGTAATCTTTCTTACATTTATCCATTTACCATCAGAACTGACATGGAATGACAACAGAACTTAACAAATGATAAAATATGAGTCCACAGAGATCTAAAAGCCCTATTGCTAGGATATACATCTCATTGGCCAGAATTATGCTACCATTAATGTTACTGGTAAAACGTAACCCTTAATTAATTGAAACAAAATTCTACGGGAATTAAACCACAAAATAGAGTTTGGTGATAATTAGGCTGTAGTTGTAAAAGTTGCATTTTATGTTACTTTGTGGATGATCTTGGTGGTTACTTTAACTCGAGTTGAAGACCAAGATACCAAGTCACCTTCTGAAACGGCCATCTCAGCATCCATACAACCGAACAACCAGGCCTCTGTCTAGATGACCAGCCACCCCTAGGTCTAAAATTCCTAGAATCAGTTCAGTTTGGAGTATCATTGAGTGAAGGTGCATCGGTGTTGAGTCCAGGAACTCATTTAAAGTAAACGGTGTAATTAGCCTTAAAACTAGTAAAAGTGATCAGAGATTAACTGTAGGATCAGCGTGAAGTTAGCTGTAGATTCCTGTTCGTCTTTCCCCGAAGTTGGTGGACGGCGGGTCAAAAAGCTCTAGTCAAATTGTAAGTATCATTACTTAATAAACTTGTAAGTTCTACTAGTACACAGTGTTTAATATTATCCCATTTTGTCATTCCTACAAAATAGGACACTTAACAAAGAAGGAAACCACACCACAAAGACACTGGAGTGGGTTAAACACAGTGGTAGACGAAACAAAAAGAAACAACACTAATACAAGTGAAATCACTTGAAGAAATACAATATCTATTAAATAAGAAACCATGAGTCTTGTATATATATATATATATATATATATATATATATATATATATATATATATATATATATGAATGAACATATCAATGATATTAACATATATGAGAAATAAGAGTAATTTAATTCAATTTAAGGTTTCCCGAATGTGATGAATATTGAGGCAGAGTGATGCCATCCTGATCTGAAGTTTTAATGATCAAAATTAATATTGAATCTATTTGAGATAACCTTTGATTTAATTACGAGAGTGAGGTAATAACGAAGTTTTTTGTTAGGGCTAACTATCCTAACATACCCCTCGAGTTGTACTGGCCTTTACCACAGCGGAATGAAATGAGGCTGCACTGCACAGCTTCAGCCAAACATTTACCATATCTTTCAACCAGATTATACGATGTGATTCATCTACTTATTTCTACAAAACGGTAATTGTTACCGAGCACGACGCACTCTCCCAGAAACTAAGTCGAAAAAGTTGATGTTCTACAGGAAATCCAATGATTTCATCGATTCCTGGGGTTGTTTCTTTGGGAATGAATCGTTTAAATATGAGGATCATTCTGATTCGATAGTCCCTATAGCAGCGGAGGGAATGAAGTATATCAGGGAAATTACGGGGTAAAACAGGTTTACAAACGAATGGAGAACAAAAAACGCGTCAAACCAGAATAAAACGCTTAAAATCGGCTAATGAAACTCTAAGGACATGCCCGCCACCTTTGAAATTGTATGGCCCGACGCGCCAAATTTTAAAACTCTACGGGGATCCAACCCGCCTTTCGATAAAATCTATGAAAAAAAAAAACAATATACCCCACCTAACTTAACAATCTAAGTTGCCGTGACTAAACAACTGCCCGAGGGGAAGGCTGGTGGGATACTCTTCCCGCAACACCCTCGGGATGCATGCTCTTTACCTCGGTATGTACGGCAAGACAGTGCTGCTTTCACAACCTAAAGAGAAAAAAAATCCAACTTTGTTTTTAATATTTTTTTATGTCATTTGGGGCTCTTGATGGGCTCAGATATTAAACTGGGATGGTTATTAAAGTTTACTTCTTCATTGCCAGTGTATAGTATTGAGAATAACTCAGAATCGACACAAGACTGGAACACAATACATTTATCACGGAATGGCCGGGGTCCTGTGCAACCTGGGGCCTAAAAACGCTCATGCCTTGACAATTCTTGTAAAGAGGCAGTAGTATCATTAGAATGTTAAGAAGGAATTAAAATAATGAAAACGAAAACTGAAAAAATAAAGTAACTGCAGTAGACAGAAGACCAATGATAATGTATAGACATAATATAAGGCAAGGAAAGGTCTAAAGAAATAAGATAAAACAATAGATAACAAAATTACTTATAAGTGTTTCCGGGTTGCTTGAAACTGGTCCACAGAAAACATGACATTTTTAGTAAAAGTATTTAAAAACCGATTAACAGAAAATGAGACATAGAAAACGAACTTATATAAAATGTAGACAAAAAGCTCGAGCCGTGTTGTACGCATCATAACCCTCAATCAGAGGCACATAGAATGGTGTACGAGTTCTCTGCTAGAATAATTAGTAACAGTCTACCTCCTGATTTGAGGGCAAACCAACAACGCCTAAAACCAGGCAGACTTGCTCTTATCAGAGACAGGCACTACGACTTGATGACTTGGATGCCCTGCTCTCCTGAAAAAAACATAAATCAGTTCTGGCTGAGCTTGCCGACAGATTAGCCAAACAAGGCAGGGAAATGCTCCCAAGCCCCATGATAGCCAACCTAAGCCGAAAAATAAGGCCACAGTTCATGCTGCGACGTTGCTTTTCTCCGGCAGATATCTATGCTAATCTCTCTCTCTATATATATATATATATATATATATATATATATATATATATATATATATATATATATATATATATATAATACTAAAAGCTCGTCTTCAACCAGATGGTACTCGGACGGTACGCAAGCATTGCAGCCACAGCCGCCGGGCTGGTAGAGATGAAACCTTATGCTTACGCCGTGGCGACTGGAAACGCCTCTCTGGAATCAAACCACCACGCTAAGCATTCAGTTCAAACAAAACAATTGGGACATAAATAACTGTCACAGGCCGGGCCACCCCAGAGAAAAGGCCTGGGCGAAGCTAGACCGTAAATCTTACTGACTGAACTGAGGAGGGTTTCAGAGAAGGACACTGTTGTAACAGAAGGGTTTCGCGCGAGCATCCAGTTAGTATAGTAACGATAATGGCGAACGAAGGGGTAATGGTGCACATGGAGAGGGAGAGGATGGGTGTTAGGAGAGAATGGGAGGAAGGGTAGGAGACTTGAGGAAGATGGATATTGGTAAATATTTTAAATGTGGAGTGAATGGGAATCGAAAGACCGGAGGGTGGATGAAGAAGCGGAACATTCTCTTGGGTCATGTTTAAGAAGTTTTGGATATCTTCCGAAGTTTCTGGGAGTTGGTTGGGGAGGTCTGGTAAACAAAGGCTCTCTTGTGAGAAGAGGGGATGGATGTCCGAGCAGGAGAAGAGGAGGATATAGGGGAAAATGTATTAGAAGATGGAGTGGAACGTTTAGGTTACCTGCGACAGTTAAAATATGAAGGAAGGGTAGACATCGAGAAGTGGTAGAGATTGGAGAATCTAAATTTAGATTGAAAAAGGAATTTGACTGTGGGAGAGGAGTAGAGGTAGGATGGTTCGGGGTAAAGGAAAGAGGTACTGGGGAACATGCTGAAACATATTGAGAAAATGGGAGGGGAACAGAGCAAAGGAGTTTTGGAATAGAGATAAAAATCTCGTCACGTAGAATGAGGCCTGGTTTGAATCTGAGAACTGGTACCTTAGATTCCAGCTTAGAGGCAGGGCAACTTCTATAAAATACAAGCCACCCTAGCTGGGACACTTATGTGACCAGGCTGGCCATATAGGGGCAGTGGGCTGTGGAGAGACAGCGTTTGGCTGGGTGCCAAAAACGACGAGGAATTGGTCGATATAGTCGGACAGGGCAGAACTTCACCATTATATACTTCATGGGGGATCATGTCTACGGAAACTAATCTTGGCAGTATTGTTGTGGGACTTACACTGGCCTCTGGAAGAACAATGTAGCACTATGCTGTCATTGCATCAGAATCAACAAGATAGGAAAGTAGATAGTTTTCACAGTCTGTTCAGGGAGTCCGAAACAGTTCCGGTACAATTATTAAGAGAGGTATGAGGTTCGGCAGGAATAGGTTTGCTAGTGAGGTCAGTTCGTCTAAATAGTGCACAAACTTGGGATTCAAATGTAACTGACAAGGCGTGAACGATCTGAAGGACTTTATCCACTTGTTTTTGGAGACACTGTTGAAAGAAGGGTACTGTCAGAATAGGAGGCTGTAGGAGGAAGTACAAATAATCGATTCCATTTCGCTGGGCCAAGGACAGTACTCCAAAGCTTGGAAGGAGTAGGACGAGAGAGGGAGAAGATGGAGTGGTGTGGAGTGAGGTTGTATTGTGGGAAAGAGGACAAAAAGGATGAAGGGACAGATATTTATTATTGGCCATGGTGAGCCTGAATGTGGGAAAAGAAATGGTCTATCTCATAGGAAAAGAAGGGGAAGAAGAAGAGAAAGAAAAGGAAAGAGGGAGAAGAAAAGACCATGCAACATTAGCTGGGGCGAGGGATGAGGTCCAAGGTAGGTATAATCCTACTTTGTGCCTCAGTCTGTCTCCTAGGCCCCCCTACGACGGGCAAGGGCTCAGGAGAGAGACAATAAAGATTGTACAAGAGGAGACAGAGTGGAAGATATTGGGAAAGAGGAAGTGATGTACTCTCAGCACGGAGCCGTGATCAGGAGAGGCAGGGGCTGGGAAATTATAGAGGTCAAATTCAAATACACCAGTTGATAAAGGTGAATGCCCTTAAGGTTGCAAAATCTTTGTTGGCCGTGGTGACCCTAAAATATGTTGAAAAGAGAAATGGTATACCCTTCAGCCTACACAAGAGGGGTAAAGGCTAGATGATTAACCATGGGAATACCGAGCCTATGGCTTCTTCCCAGAGTCGTTCAAGACTGACACAAAGCCAGCCTTTCATCCTTTCAGCAGCTTAGGGAGTGGACAGAAGGGGTAGGAGAAGGGGGTGTGGGAGGAAATGGGGAATTAAAAGACCATGTAAAACTGGTTGAAGACCAAGGTATGGGCAGTCTCCAACATTGGGCCTCAGTCTTTGTCCCTATGATAACAATGGGTATGGGATTGGGAGTTTAAAAGACCCAATGCAGCCTTTTTCTGAAAAGATTTGGCTACTTTTTCTGCCATAAAGGCAAGAAGAGTTTGACCCATGAAGAGCAAAATATGTGCACTTCACTATCTAAATATGATGTATGTATGTGAAGTATATAATTTCATTTCTGTTTACTATTTAAGGGTTAAATGAAAAATAAATGGGTCACATTCCTAAATGTGAGCTACAATAAAACCATTTAATGTATTTTGGTCCCTATTTATAAAATATTTTACAAAGAAAAGAAACGTAAACAGTATATAAATTTTTCCCATAAGGCTTCAATTTTCCAATCCTCCCTACATCTTCCACTTTCATTTTTATCAGCAGGACTCTCTGGGTGGTAGGATGGCAAAGGGTACCTTCACAAAGCCACCTACTTACCTTAAGGTGTTTGGGTTACAAGCTGATGTGACACAAGGATATGTCCTTGTGCATAGTCAAGAATCCTCTTCTTTTGTAAACTTTGACCTATATTTCTGAGAAAAAAGAAGAAAAACTCGCTTGTTCTCCCAGAGAAACATCAGGACTCTTCAAGTATAGGACCTCAGAGATCCTTGAACTTACTCCTTTCATTCTCTCTCATTTGCAGTCAAATGTGTCCTAATCTGGAGTTCCATTTTTCCCCTTTTTATATAAGTTCATTTTCTTTCTTAAAAATATAATCTACAGAACATTTTCAAATTCAGAAAGGGTAAGAATAGTTTTATAGAGACACACTTTAATTCTAAATACATTCATATATGTCTTTTAAATTGGGAATATATAAGCACATGCATATCAGCATGTTTTCTGTGTTCGTGTAAGCACTATAGATGTATTCAAATGTCTATACACACACACACACACACACACACACACACACACACACACACACACACACACACACACACACACACACACACACACACACACACACACACACACACACACACACACTCACACACACACACACATACACATACACACACACACACACACACACACACACACACACACACACACACACACACACACACACACCACACACACACACACACACACACCACACACACACACACACTCACATGCACACGCACATGCACACACACACACACACGCACACTCACTGACTCACACTCACTCTCACTCTCTCTCTCTCTTTCTTTTTCTCTTCTCTCTCTCTCTCTCTCTCTCTCTCTCTCTCTCTCTCTCTCTCTCTCTCTCTCTCTCTCTCTCTCTCTCTCTCTCTCTCTCTCTCTCTCTCTCTCTCTCTCTCTCTCTCTCTCTCTCTCTCGTAATGCAATGCTCTATGAATTCACAGAAAGCATCAACGACCTCCAAACTCAAAGCTGCTGTAAGAGCTGCCTGACAATCCAATGATATTGCCCTCTGCAACAGGGTTACACATTCCACTGACTGGAAGCAAAAGCTTGTGATGGCAAAGAAAGGTGTAACTAGGATCTAAAGTTGCCTTTGGTAACTACTATGAAAGTACATATAGTTGTCACATGGTCTGAAGCCTTTTGCACATTCACCCCTGCAGATGCAAAGGTAAAAATATAGATGCAGGCATAGATATACAAGGCCTAAGATCTATACAATAACTCTTAAGATATTATATGGTATTTAAGCTGGATCTGCACACAAATAAACAGAAGATCTCTCTTTAAGGCTCTTTATCAGTACAGAAAATATGCTGCCCATATTCTGACCGACTAGTGAGAACACGTCCCACTCATTGCTAATTATGGCCACAAAATGAGATTCTCACTCTACTGAAACACTGCCATTAATGGAGTTTTTTTTATATCATTTCACATGCAAACTACAAAGTCATACATGTCTTAATATATTCTTAACAAAATAAACTAATGGATTAATATGAGTGCTCATGGGTTAAAAATATTTAACCCACACAGTAGATACATGAGCCATTCTACTGTACAGGGCATTTGTTCCTTATTACAAAAATATTAAAATAAAATCTACTACAATGATATACTGCACACAAAAACAACTTCCACTTCCTTGAAAAAAGGATTAAAGACAAATAAGTACAATTAAAAATTACTACATAACTATATCTTCATTTGCCTGATTGAAAATTTCTAATTTCTTACAAATATAAAATATTACAAAATCTAGACAGCTAAGAAAACTTTTTGATGATTCTTGGGACAAGGCCTTCATACTGAAATACTGCAATATAATGATTAATGTAAACAATTAAGAAAAGAGAACATAAACAATTCTAACTTCCTTAACTAGACAAAATTCTTAGCACTTTCCCATCTCTGTTTTTCATCTTTCTTTCTTTTTCTTTTTTTTTTTTGTCAAAAAAAACAGAAAATAATTGTCAACAACAACTTACATTATAGAATTCAGCACTGAAATTTAACAGGCTACATATATATATCTCCTAATGAAGAAAACAAATATTGGACGGTTTGGAACCCAAACTTGTATAGTTACTTTTAGCACAAATGTAAGTAATTATATAAATCAAGTCCCTGTCACCTAGTGGCTGG